CGCAGTCTGGTCCGACACGATAGTGAATCCAAATCCGGAGTCCACCTCCATGTCGCACTGCTGACCCTCAATCTTCACCTTGACTTGTGCCTTGCCTTGTGCTGGGAACTGCACGACCCTCCCGTTGATCTCCGTAACGTAGTGGCAGTCCTTAGAAAATGGGTTGCTGCGGGCGGTCTGCGATGCTCCGGTCTAGGTGCTCCTGTTGCTCCCAACGCCGCCGATCTACAGACTCTGGCGATGTGACCTGTCTTCCCGCACGTCCGGCACATAGCATCCCGGAAACGACAACTCTTCCGCTCATGGTTTCCGCCACAACCTGGGCACCTGCCTCGGTGATCTTTGTGCACTGTGCAGGCCTGACTCACTGACTCGACCCCACGGACTGGGCTCTGGCTCGGAGTAGCCTCTAGCTCGTCCATGGCATGCGCAACTTCTATCTGTGGCCTAGGGCCTTGCGACTGGCATCAAGCTCCTCTCTTTCATAATTCTCCGTGGCGGTGGCCTCCTTCAAGGCTGAAGCAAGGGTAACCTCTTCTTTAGCCACGATGCGTCTTCTGGCCTTCTTGCTGCTCAGACCACCGATAAACCGATCCAGGAGAGTCTCTTCCAGATTTTGGAAGTCGCAGTGCTGAGCGAGCTTCCGCAGTTCAGCCAGAAATGCAGATACAGACTCCCCAGCATGCTGCTGCCTCTTATGAAACTCCATCCGCCGAGCCATCTTGGTCTCAGTAGGCGCCAAGTGGCTTGTTAGGCAGGCAAGAATATCTTTGAGAGATGTCTCACTTAGCTTCGCTGGAGCAAGCAATGCCTTGGCCAGCTTGAAGGTCTCAGGCCCACAGTAGCTCAGGAATGTGGCCCTTCTTTTGCTGGCATCGGTGATCCCTTGAGCCTCTGCGAAGAACTCAAGCGTTCGACGTAGTCTTCCCACGTGTCGGGCTCTGATGGCTGGAAGGGCTCCAATACCCTTGGACTCTCCATTGTCCTGTGGCAGGGTCGTCTTCTCAGCTGGTCAGTGAGTCTTGTTCTTAGCTGCAATCCGGACTCTGAGGCAGGGCTGCGTTTAACCGCTCCTCAGCATTCCGGATCCCATCCTCGTCGCCAGTTGTTGTGACGTGGGGTTTGTGATTTCAGCTCTCCTGATATAACATGCTGGAGACAGTTCTCTAGTAACACTTCTTTATTAAAGCAACAAGACTAAAGACTGGGGAGAGGAAAGCTACATTTATAGGGACAGGGAACTAGCAAGAAGGGATACATTTTGGAGGGAACAATATCAGGCAATCACAGTCCTACCTTTTGGAGGGAACCAATAAGACAGAGGATCCAAATACAGCAGCTTAAATGAACCAATAGTAGCTGTACCCTCTGGAACCAAAAGGCAGTTACTTTACCCTAGTGCAAATACAGACAATAATAATACAGATATAAAATCCTTTGACTCAATACACAACACTTTTAATTAGTGTCAAACAAGTAAGAACAGAAAGGGATATAATTGGGGGGCGGGGGGATGGCGTATGGTGATGCAAAGGCAAATGGTTATTAGTCTTCATGGTTTTACTTCAAAAATCAACATGGTCCTTTTCATTAAAATAGTCTTCCCAGTGGGAACTATTTCCCATCGCTGTCTAATAACAGCAACCAAAGAATACAGATATTTCCACACTACCCCCAATGGCTTTTATAGCTCATACTCTGCTCTTGAAGACTTAACATCTGTGTGATTTTTAAAATCAGGTAAGACGTTGGTTAAGTGAGCTTTACTCACTAGTCTGAAAAGCAAGACATGTGAACATAATCATGATATATCTGGGTCCCTCGTATATCAACTCTAATATGCTCTGCTTGATATATCCATCTAAGGAAGTCACAGACCAGCTCTTGTGTTTCAAAGCAAAAACTATCATTCCTTAATCTTTAGATATATTACTGAACAACATACAAAGGGAAAAGGTCATTGCAAAGGCAATCTTGATGTTAAAAACTTTAACTCAGAAGGCCTTGTGTAGATGTGAAGCAGTTGCTAAGGGATGCCCCTACTACAGGAGTGGTCAGACTTATGGCTTGTGCTTTACTATAAAACCAGGTTCTATGTGCAAAAGACATAGTTAGAACTGAAGAACATGGAACAGAATGCCTAGGAAATTTCCAAGACTGGGAAATTGTTTTCAGTCCCAGAACTGAAGGAAGATCACAGTCCTTTCACAAATGTTCACTCCGGGTTAGCTATTTTCATTCCAATAGCATAATTTAGTTAGAAAAGTCATTTTGTAGCTATTACTGTGAAATAATTGGGAGTCAAAAACCCTTGCAGATCTATTGCAACTCACCAGAGAATCCTGGGAATCACAAAAATAAACAGTAACCCAAACTGAATAAGAAGTTTATCGGAAAAGTAAATAATAAGACATGTGTCATGTTACTGCAGCATCTAAATTTTATACGTTGATATTTTTCACTTTAGAATTTCCTGGTTTCAGCATCATTTTTATTATCCAGGTCTTAACCATAGACAGTTCCATAAGTCAGTGCTAGTGTTACTTTTGCAGGTGCCCAATTCATGTGTCTAACTATGAGTTGGTACCCTAGAAGTTATGAGTAATGAGAGTGGTTTAGAACAAGCAGCTGTCATGCTTCTGGGCCTATTTTTACAACAACAATGGTTATGAAACTTTACTCCTCCAGTTTTTAAAATGAAATACATTTTTCTCTGGAGGATTTGTGGCTTGAAGGGAAAAGTTTTAAATACCGAGATAATGATATAATCAGTCTTTTTTGAAGGTCAGAAACATTATGGTTATCCGAATGCAACATAAAGTTCATATGCACTATTCTTCTGTTGTAGCTTCCTTATTTGGTTTTTCCACTCAAAGAAAACTAAACAATAGTGGGGAGAGCCGATGATTGGAAAACAATTTCACACTAGTTTCACATTGTGTCATACACATGGATTTATATTATAGGGTTTATATCCGTGGTTAAAATGGATATAAATTCAATTTACAGCATATCATGAGAAAATCTAGCTGCGAATTTTAAATACGTGATTATTATTAGTAGTAGTAGTAGTAGTATTTATTAGTCACTATAGTCACAAAAATGATCCAAAGTGACTTACAACACAATATAAACAGTAAGACCAATGTCAACAAACAAACTAATAAAAACCTAAAAAATGTATCTATACAAATATTAGTTCCATTTATTTATTAATTAAGCAAGGCTTTAAGCAAGGCTCCAAATGATTTTCCATCTGAAACACAGGCATATTTTTCTCAGAGTTGTGCATCATTATGTATTTTGCAGTCTTGAGGTTCCATAAACAGTTTATAAGCACTAAAAAGATAGCAATAGATGGTCTGGTTCTCAGCCATCTGTATTTTGCTTGCGACAATGAAGATGGCTTAGCAGAAAATATTTAGTTTTGTTTTTGAAATCATTTAGATGATTCGACATCAGAAACCACAAACTGGAGAATGCATATATTTCAAGAATTGAGATGACAATCGATGAACCACTAAGGCCTTGACAAATTTTAAATTAACAAGCAGTCACATCATGCTGGAATCCACTGGGTCTTACTTAAAATGCCAGTACACTCCACCTGCACAATCACACCTTGTGTGCCAACTTTTAAACATCTGCTGAAAACTTTATTTTTATTCTGCCAGGCCTATGCAAGCAATGAGGTAGGTTAGGCTGATAGATAGCGAAAAGCTCAAGGGCTACCAGTGAGCCTCATGGCTTAGTAGGAATTTGACCCTGGGTTTCCTTACTCCTGTGTACACATGAGAACATGGCACATGGTACTTTGTAGTTCATTTTGTTTTTACTAAATAAGAAAACAAACCTATACTTTGGTTCAATATGGCAATAATTATACAATAATATTTTTGTTTAGCTTATAAGGTTTCTGTTTCACCTTTTGTTTTATACTACTGAATTATTAGTTTAACTTAATGTTTATTTAAGTTTAAACTTTGCTGCTGTGGGAAATTTTTATTATGGAGTAGTTTTATTGCTCTTTTCATAGCAGGTTATGGCCAGTTAGATTTACCAGTTAATTGGATTTTTGTAACAAAACATGCTGCATAACATCTGCATAGTACATTTTTATGGAATGAGATACTGAGCATGTTGTGACACCGGATTACTATGGCATGTTGACTTCCACGGGCAAGATGTTATAAATATTTTACAGAAACTGCAATGTCATGGGGAAACTGTACTTACTCATGAGAAAGGGCTTCCCTCGTCAATATTAAGGAATGCACTTTGTTTTCGGATCAAATGGAAACTAGAAAATGCCCCAACAATAACATGAACAGGCAAGTTTCTTCTTGAACATTTCTATGTTATTCCTGAAACTTCAATATCCACACCACAGTCATCTTATATAGATTGGCTCAGGATTTAATTGGTTCCATGACAACCATGGAGATGTCTCAACGTATCAGGGCCTTACACTCGTGGCAGATCACACTCTTGATCTGGTCTTTACTATATAATAGATTGGGAATGAACTGGTAGTGGGAGGAGTTACAATTACTCCTTCATCATGGATGGCTTGTTAAAAGGTTAGGTTTGGAATGGTGGTGGGACTTCCCCTCTGTAGAAACAGGCAACTTTGCAGGGTAGTCTGCCCCCTGAAACTGATAGAATCTGTGGGATTCCTGAATGCTCTGAGGGCATTAATAGCTGACCTCACTGATGCTCCTGTTGACTTCCTTGCCTCACTATGGAATGGTAAGATGGGTATTGGCAATCAACACAATCAGACCCTCCAAGTGTCCCTATTTTCCAGGGACATCACTGATTTAGAGAAGCCATCCCAGTTTCTTATTTGATCCTGGAATATCCTACTTTTCCTTAGGATGTCCCTATTTTCACTGGAGAATGTTGGAGGGTATGGAGTTAGCCAACCCCCAAGCTGTCTGAAGGCAATCCTGTATAGGGAAGTTTTTCTTCTTCTAATATTTATCGTTTTATTATGTTTTCATATATGCTGGAAGCTGCCCAGAGCGGCTGGGGCAACCCAATAAAATGTGTGCGGGATATAAATAGCAAAATTATCATTATGGAACAGGACATCCCTATTTTCATTGGATAAATGTTGGAGGGTATGTACAATCCCTCTCAAATGTGATATCCAGCATTGTGGTTCAGCTCCCTGGTTTTCCAGATGGGTGATGGAACTGGTTGACTAACTACTTGAGCGCCAGACGCGAGTAAGGGGAGACAAAGAAAGGGGAGAGGACAAAACTGTAAATTCAGCTGTGTTACAAAAATGAGAGGAACCTTATTTCTTTCATTGTGGAAAAATAATAATAATAATAATAAAATCTTCCCTCCCGGCTAGAAATTTCCTTAATTTCCCTTTGCAAGCCTATTACTCTAAGCCCAGCAGCTCTGATATTGTGGGAACAGGACAGTCATGGCATCTTATATACACTCCTGCCTGTGTCTCCTATGCTGTTCCATTTCCTGGTTCTTGAGTCCATCAAATGGAGGCAAAACCATGCCAAGGAACCACAGGAAAGTGCATGATATATGTAGCGTACTAGAGCTGCACTTTCTCATACCTTTGACATTGTGGCCCAGTTTGACAGCCTGACCACTGCTTAAACTGTTAAATAACAATGCAACCCCCCCTGTTCTGCTTAGAAGTATGTTTTCCACCAAGATTCGCAGCTTGTCAGGCAGCTGTTTGGCAGTAACTGGTCCCCTTGTTAATCCGCAGGTAATTACTGTAATGCCAATTGCTACAGGGTAAACTTTACACAGTAAAGAAAGGTAGCTGCTAATTACTCATGAGTAATTACCCTTCTATATAACAGTTGTAGACTGCATGCAGTATTCTATCTAGTCAATCTAGCCTAAGACCACTGTGATCTTTGCTAAACTGCCCAGTAGCCACAGTGGCAGGTGGACATATAATTCTGCTGAGTTCAGCTGAAGGATACAATCATGCCATTAGTCAAGTCAGTTACTAGTTAAATTTGTTCCAAAACATATCTCAAACATATACTGCTTGGTTCTTTCAAGCCCTTGGCTCTATAAGAAGCCAAAAAACCCCAAAACTCTGTTTCCCTAGTTTATTCCCTGACCAACACAAAGTGGGGGTGCACATTTCAAAGGGACAGAGTGTTTTGCCATATTGCAGCAGCAGAGAACTTATAACTTCTTTATGCTTCTTCAGTAAACTGGCCCTTTAACTCTGGTGCTCTACTGCTGAAGTTGAAGCTCACGGCCAGGTTCATGCTGTTTTAGGAAATTAGTTATCTATCCTTCCTACTGTCTTGAGAAATCATTGTTTTCAACCTGCTGATTACTATATTTTTTAATTGTCACAAGCTGCTTGAACCGTGTAAATTAAGATTCCAGTTTCTTAATGTTATGTGGGAAAAACAGAATTTCTATAGAACAACCAAAGCAGTGATAATACATCTATATCTCATATGACTCACCAGTCAGTGGTTCTTATGGAGTTCATGCAATATGCTAAATGCTTTCCCACCCCAATATGTCGAACTGTTCTGTAGCTTTCCCAAAAAAGGAAAAAAAGGAAAAAACCCAAACCCTGCCCCTCTCACCCATACAGCTAAGAGGGAGCACACTTAGCAGGGGCAGAAAATATTTGCAAACTGCATGCCCCTGTTTCAGGTCACTGCTAATATGGTGTTAAATTAGAAGCTCCTCTTACAAATTCAGACTTAGGGCACTTAAAAAAAAAAGTTAATCAATACTTCAAACAAATCAATTACCAGATAGCAGCTAAACTGCTCTACTGCAATCCTGTCCTGGTATCGCTTGCATGTTCCAACTGTGTACAGCTCTCAGGCAAGGCTTGTAACATTTCCTCTTCATGAATGATCATCTGTGCAACCAGCATAGAGGCATTATTCCAAGAAAATGTTAAAAGGGACAGGGAGATATTAAGGGATGAAACTAAAGCTGAGCCTTAAAGTGAAAGGAAACAATGGCTTTGACATACATTTTTACTTTGACGAGAGAAACAGACAATGACATACCATATTGCAGGCTAATTTATATCTTCTTCTTTTTAAAAAGTCTTCTAAATAGCCTAAAATCAAGAAGAATGTGTTTTCTGGAAGGCCGTCGTGATTATTGCTGACAATGACTCACAACAACAACAACACTGTGATGCAATCAAAAAAGGTAACCTTTCCTTTGGTAGAGCAAACCTGTCATACAGTATTTTCACCAATGATGTGCTTTTTCCTTAAAGGAAGGCGGGGTTACAACTAAGTATCAGGGCAATAAAAAAGGGGGTCTTATGTCAGGGACATTAGAAGTCAGTTAACAAAAGTATATGTTCAGGCTGAGCTGAGAGGGCTCTCCCCCCGCAAAGCATTTAAGTCTGCTGAAATTGAACTGCTGGTTGCACAAAGAAGAAAGCAGACAGTCATTAGGAAGTTTAGATATAAACTCAAGAGCGAAAGAACATTTTCTTCAAGCTGGCCAGCAAGCCGAGTTTCAAGCAGCATGAATCCTCTACTCAGTACCTTGTTATTTTCACTGCTACTTCTTCTAACCCTCAGAATTCAGGAGCTTATAGAGGCTTGCAGCTGTGCCCCTGCACATCCACAGCAGCAAATCTGCGATTCGGCTTTAGGTGAGTCATAAACACTATACACTTTTTATGCTGCCTGTAAGAAATCAACTAACGCTAGATTAACTGTGGGCATACTTCTCTGCAAACCCTTTAGGGGCTCATATCCAATAATGGTTGTTTGGGACTCTGAAGAACTGGTTACACACAAAAAAGATTTCAAGAATAATATTACAAAAGCATCTGGAAGCAGTTGCTCCCATTTATTTTTGCTTTTCAGTTTTCTCTGCAATGATTTGTTGTAATTGGTGGCTGAAATCCTTTATGGGTTTTCTTCATGATGATTTTCTGAGCATTAGATTCTGACATTTAATATGTAGAATAATAAGGATGTGGGTTATATGTGTTCTGTGGAGGGCTTGTAGGCATTCTGTTTGTTACACTGCTTTCTAAATAGATATTAACATTCACTTATTTTTAAAGATAATCTGCTTTTTATCATTTTAAATCGAGAATGTATCATGTTCAAAACATGCTATTTAAAATTGTGTATGGCTGAACATTTCTGCAAAATACTCTATAAAGGCTAAGTATAAAATGCCTAGTTTTATTACTAAGTATTCGATCTATATATTTAAAAAACTAAAGTTTTACAATTAGAGAATAGGATAGGAAAATGTGACTTTTGTAGTCTTTTCATTTTCAGCTTGAGCTGTGGCTAGTTAGCTTCCATCCAGAGTGAACAGTAAATGTAGAACATGAGTTTCTAAAATGTCACAAAATTAGCATCTCTATGGGATAGGCAATACCTTCTGCATACTGATTAATTGCTTTCATGTGCTGACAGAAAATCTTTGTAGCCATGACAAACTCTGTTTAAAACCATCAATTAAATTGTTTCTTAATCTGGCTGTGTTAAGTAATGTTTTCATTAAATTACGTACACCAGACATGACAACCTAGAATAATGTGAAGTATAGGAAAAAGTACCAGCTAGTGTTACTTCAGTTAAACAGCTGTTAAATGCGTAAAAGAAAGCAGTATTCAAAATGCATCTGATACAATTCTGGTGCATGACACTGCTCTGAAATGTGAAATATATTCACACAGATATTGTGCTGATGACCAGTTTGAAACTAGGAAAGAAGACTCTGACACCCGACATGTTTAGTAGTACATTAAGCGTCAATCTAAGGGGGAGGATCCCTCTACACAATTCTTCAAATACCTTTTTCTAGGGTTTGAAAACCAAGCATGCAAAACACTAACTTGATCCAAGTGCGTGCATGACTTAAAAGTAAACTAATATCTCAGTTGCTACAATGGAGCAAAATGGAATGTTTAGTTACTTAACAGATTTAATTCTCGAAGTGCTTTATATGGGCAACTAAAAACATAACTGGGTGCATATTTAATCTGGGCTACTGAACCTTTACTTACTCAGGTCTTTGGAGTGTTAATGTGACAGGTGGCTGGGGAAAGCAAAGACCATCCAGTTTTTCTAAACAGCATATATAACTACTGACTAATGTGAACTGCAGAGAAAGATCTTATGCTTGCTATTATACCTACTAATAATAAACTCAGCTGGTGAATACTGGCAGGATTCTAGCCAAAATGGGGCCACTAAGAAACAAGAGGGATGTATCAACATTCTCGAAGAAACCTCAGAAGCTCAAAAAATATTTAGCAAAAAGAATTGAAGGGGGCCAAAGCACACCCACTCAAAACAGACCAGTGAGAATTGAGCATGCTCAGTAGTCACATAATGCTGCCTGAGGTGGTAGTAGGAAAATGAGGAGGAGGGGATGGAATGCTGAGCAGAAGCACTAAGCGCTGCAGCATTTTGTTGTAGGTCCTTCCTGTAAACATTGTCATTTATACTTAAGGCCAACGCTCAGAAAGCATATGGAAGAATGCCACCTATGAATAAGGTGCTTGCTTGTGAAGTATGATCAAAGAATTGTGAATGTTTCCTATACCCAGGGGCTAATCTACTATGAAACAAATGAAGCTTCAGCGACTTTATTCATGCATGTATATAACATCTCCCTAATTTTTACCAGTCCCCCTCCCCCAGAAATAACTTGAAAACTATAAGGCATAGGAAATATTTATCCACACCAGTGACTTGTGGGATAATCCAGTATAGCAATTTTAATCAAAATCTGAGATACAGTAGTTAATTTTTTTTAATTGTGGTGATCTATCATGGAACAACCCCACTGAAGAAGATAACAGTGGTTACCCAGATCTCGCTGCTGGTTGCAAAGGGGTCCCCACAACAGCTCAAACTTCAGGGCCCCCCAAATGTAGTTCTACTACTGCCTATACCTGCTGCCCCCTTTTCCAAATCAAACATGAGAAGGAAGCATGATAGAGGTTGATATTTGTAGAATTCTCTTAAGACATTATAACTACTGAAGGAGCTCCAGTTGATATACTATGAGGGATGGAAGTGATCGTATGACTGCTCTTGTGTAGCTCTACTTTGCAAGAGTTGTGGGTTGTAAAAATTCAGAAATATCACTTCCATAGTCTGAACATCCTTTTTACAGAGCATGAAAAATTACAGAATGATTACAAAAACATGAAAAATGGAAGTATGACTGTGAATGCAGAATAGCATCTAAATATGATAAATTCTTGGGCAGGGGTACCTTTACCTTTACCTTTACCTTTATGATAAATTCTTAGCACCAGACTTTCACTTCTTTGAAAGTTCTTTACTATTTTTAGTTCTAGTTAAGTTATTAATAACTGTTAACTTCTTTATTGACTACTTTATAAAACTTTTATCTTGCCCTTCCAATGCATTTGCTTTGCTTATGTCAGCCATCTCAGAGGTCAGAAACATATACATATTTGTATACATTACCTATTGTACATACAGACCACTGAAGAATGGTCAAAATGTGTTAGGCTTAGTTATACGCAGTTTGATTTGATCTTTTCAAATAAGTATTCATTGGTTATGTCAGTTTAATTTGTTTATATTTATAATATAAAGCTGCTTTATATACTAGTTTATACTACTCTATTATGTGGTATTTTAATGTTCAGTTTGCAGTTTCTTTATCCATTGGGATGTTCAGGGAATCTCACAGCACATAGTAAATCAATATAAAAAGAAGAAAAGAAAAAAATTGTTATACTAAAGGTATATGAAAATTGTGTTAATGCTTCAGCTGTTCCTATCTTTTTTTGCCATTCCATTTCTGCTCCTTTTTATTAATTTTGCTCCTTTGAAAATTATATGTGAATGAAGGAGGGTATCCCAGGCACTGGTTAAATCAACAGACCGTACATGGGTGACCTTTGGCTAATTCAGAACCCCTACCATTCCCAAGATGAAACAAGAAGCACTTTCATTGTTGCATTTGTCTGTGTGATTAGTGGTTTTGCTGCTTTTGTTGCTTCAAGCTATGCCTAGTTTCGAAACATTCATAGCTACTAAGTAGGCCCAAGTAACTTGGAAGAAATAAACTGGTGTGCTGGAATTGAGAAATATCATATGGGATGGTGGCAGAAAACAAGTGCATGCTTCTTAAACGTACGTTTGTTTCAGTATATGGCACCAAAAATTCTATACTGGGCACACAGTAGACAATTATGTTATCTACTACACACTGTTTATATACCTTTATATGTGACCTTACAAAATAACTTGACAAACTAGCTTCAAAGTAATAATTACTTTTCAGAACATGAGCATTATTTTTTACCTCCTACATCTTACCTCACACTTGATTCTACTCGGAAGTAAATTAGACTTTTAAGAGTTATTGAAAGAAATGGAGCCTACCTATTGAAAATTACAGATACTGAGCACTGTATTTGTGGCAAGAACCATCTTTGCTCAAAGTATATTTTAGGAGAGATTCCAGAATTCAGGTAAATGCGTCAAAGAAATCAGTAAGCACAAAAAATTAAGCAACCCACTGTGTGAGAACCTACACAAATGGGGAGGAAAACAGGGGTTCAGGTCAGCATACGAAGCTACAATATATAGCAAACAAAGTACAACAAATGTGTTCATCACAGTGTACCCACTATTACAAGGCATACAGTGCATACAAGCGGAACTTCAGACTTATCACAACAAATACAATATAACAATTAGTAATATATATTCATATCGCCGGCACAAGGGAATTCTTGAAAGCAGCGGAGCAGCTGTAGCAACAGACAGGACTAGAGGCTGGTGATCCCAGTTTCGAAGAGAAACTCCTTCAATTGGCAATATAAGAGAAAACTGTAGCAGCCCCAGCCAAACAATATAATATAAACTCTTCCTGACCATGAGAAGCAGCCATACAGATAGAAACTGCCCTACCTCCTCCACCCCACTATCAAGGCCTAACTGGATGCTTTTTAATGGACAGTAAGGAGAGAGAAGTTATATGCATCTTCCAAGTATCTATTTATATAAAATACTTAATATTTCTGGAAACAGAATGTATGTCTTAGTTAGTGATGATGGATGCTTTCTATTCCTCACAGATATTCCTCACAGGCTCTCATAGAATTTCATGTTTAATCTGGCCCTCTTCCATGCTGATGAATTAAATTTTGCATAAAATATAAACTCTCTCAAAAGCTCAATCCTTTGCACACTTACTTCACTTTTCAGTGATGCTTACTCACATGTAAGTGTGAATAGAATTGCAACATCGATGCTCTTTGTGTACATGATGTTGGCTCTCCTGATGTTCTTATGATCAAGAGGACAAATGGAAGTAATATACCACCCCCCACTCCACCCTTAGCTAACCATAGCTTTGTACTGATACATTGTGGGGGTTTTGCAAACTACCTAGAGGATTTCTAGACTCAAAAATGAGGTAATGATGATGATAATATTAATAATAATATGATGGTGATAATAAGCAGCTGCTGCAGCTGACACCTGTGGAATAATCAATATTTTCAAGACATTTTTGCTCAGCCTGTGAGGAACTGGGAGGTCTGAGCTGTTGTTTAGAACAGGAGCAGCTTGACCCCATGACCCCATACTGGAGAAGCAAGTTCCTTTGCAGCAACAACCTATGCCATAAGCTTGGATAGCTGGCCACACAACTGAATTCAAAGCCCTTAAAGAATAATTATCCAGCTTTCACGAGTGGCAGTATAGTTCTCCCTTCTATAATTCATGGCCACCAAGTACCTAGGAGTTAATACTTTTCCTTTTTCCTTCTCCAAACCTTTATTAGGCATTACAGATACAGACCATCATAAAACATCCATATACAAAAAAATTAAAATATATACAAAGAAGCAGCCATATAATATATATACACTAATAGAAATGTATTAATACATAAATTCTACCTCCTGAACTTAAGATGCTGGCCATTCCTGCTTTAGGTCATCCAGGGCTAGCCCAAGACATTTTGCCACCTGAGACAGAGAGAAAGTGGCAGAACTCCCTTGCCTGGTCATGCCAATTTGTATAATACTCAATACTGCCAGCAAAGGCGGTGGTGGTTGTTGTTGTTGTTGTTGTTTGCAGCTGAAGCAGAACATCCCACAACACTCTGCCAGCACTCTGGCAATATAAATACAGCAATAATACATTAAAATCTAACAATATGCTGCCCTTTCAAAAATCTCCTGCCTGAGGTGTCACCTCACTCTCCCTTATGGTAGGGCTAGCCTTGAGGCTCCTTCCTACAGGACATCTACATCATTGTTAAGTGCAGTGATTTATAAAGCTAGAAGGAGCTAACACATACCTTTTCTGCTGCATAATGCTAACTAACAGGCTTTTGCAAATGTCCTCATTTGCCACACAGCAAAATGCATTCTGTTTGCTCAAAGGAAGTGTGGTTTGGGGGCTATGGAAGCATGTTGGAAACATTTTAAAATTTCTTTTATAGAGAAACTCATGAACCTCAATGAATAAGATCCCAGCGTCCTTGCCAGCAATTTTGTTATGAGTTCTGAAGCTCTGGAACTCATTAAAAAAAAACCCTACTGATGTATTAATCAGCAAACTTGGGTGATCCAGTATTTTACCACTGAAAGAATACGAAGTAGCTAATTTGTGTAATTATCACAGTTGATATTTCCAAACTGGCTACCATTCATCACACTAATGATGGCTGACTCCAGCTGAAATAAGAGAACAGCATACAGCTGAACACAAATTGGAAGAGACAACCCATACTGATACACAGGAGAGCGACTTCATCATTACAATTTTGGTTAACCAAATCTTTAGGGGTCTGTATTTTCTTCATGACTGCAAGACAGAAATATCTAGAGCAGGCTTTTTACAATACTACAGGATGCAAAACAACATTCTTTTCTTATACAGTGGTACCTCGAGTTACAAACGCCTCAGGTTACAAACGCTTCAGGTTACAAACTCCGCTAACCTGGAAGAGTTACCTCGAGCTGAGAACTTTGCCTCAGGATGAGAACGGAAATTGTGTGCTGGCAGCTCAGCAGCAGCAAGAGGCCCCATTAGCAAAAGCACACCTCAAGTTAAGAACAGTTTCAGGCTAAGAATGGACCTCTGGAACGAATTAAGTTTGTAACTAGAAGTACCACTGTAAAGCTGTCAAAATAAAATTTAAAATACTGTGGCCCATAGGTGGGATTTTCTCATCCAGTTTGGTTTCTTTGAAAATGCATCACCCATCAGTAAAACTGCAGATATGCACATATTTCAGTTATATAAAATTATCCTCAGAGAAAGGGGGGGGGACCAGGGAGAATTGACATGGTCCACCTCTCCTTTGTTGAGTTTGGCAGAGTAGAGGGAGGAGCAAAATAATTTTCAGACTGTTGGCTCAGGGCCCAGGGAACAGGCAGGCAGGAATAGCTACAGAATTCCCTCATTTATCTATCTCTTTTTGGTGATGTCCACATCAAACAGTAGATGATCAACCATCTACCTGATGCTTGAGACTTAGGTAGGAATGGGCTGTGAATATTTTCTTACCAGTAGCCCAAAATTTCTTTCAAGAGGCCTTAGTATCCAATTCATTGGACACAAAAGTTGTTGGACATGATGGCATCTATGCTATCATCACATGAGAAGTAGATGAAAAATAAGAGTAACTGCAGAAAAATTAGTGAGAGAGAAGGAGATCTTAATCTTCTACCTGTTACCCCCCCCCAATGTTAAATACATCACATGACTACAATTTTCTTTCACTCCTTTGCTGTATTGCAAGAGATGTTCGAGGGAGGATTAAGGTGTTAAGACCTTGCATGGGAAGGAAAGACTGAATTATCTCTTCCTAGTAAAGAGCTCCAGCACTTGTATGGGCAAAGAGGATAACATGTCTAGGAAGAAGAGCAACTATATACAAACATCCTTCAGAGCAGCAGTGCTGCTATGCTATTTGAAGGCTGCTATACATTGTTTACCTTGGGAACAGTTTCTTTGCCTAATAGTAGTGAGGTGGGGCAAGGACATCCATTTTCATCTGGTCACTGGTGGAAGGCAGCACACAGAAGCTTGGACTGCACAGCACAGAAAGCTGAAATATATGTAGTTTACTGAGAGCGTGCAAATATGAGGGTACTTGGAGAGAAGTTTGCTTATTGCTACCAACTCATATTGAACTAATGCAAGAGCAAACCTGGGTTACAGCTTGTGGTTAGTGACTAGAGAGCTTAAGTATGAGAACTCCCAATTTGAACTTAATGCTATACCAAACCTTGGCTCATCTTGGGACAGCAGTACAAAGGACAGAGAAGGAGCGATGTAGCTATGAGCTCCCCTTAGGAGTCCACATATTCCCATCGTGAAGTCATGTGAACCAGCCTGATACAACATCAGTACTGCCTTAACAGAATTTGGTTGAAATATAGATGTAAGCACTTGCTATGTGAAATAATTACCATAGGAGAACTCTAGTCTTAATCACTTTCATCTTCATATTAGCTGGGGGTGGGAAAGAGAAATAGACTGTACTAAATATAACAGCAGCTGTGCTTTATAGTATAAATAATATGTCACACTACAGAAAGAACAGGTGAATAAATTCTAAAATGTCTGTCTTGCTTTCATTTACTCGCAGTGATTCGAGCAAAGATTTCCAGTGAAAAAGTGATCGCATCAAGTGAAGACCCTCTTCATACTCACAAAATGATTCGATATGAAATCAAACAAATAAAGGTACATGAAAAAACTTGCTTATTATGATGCTTAAATGCCATTGAATACTACTACTACTCCTGGTCAGTTTTATACTCAATTTCCAAAGTGCACATAAGGGTGCAACACATACTACTTATCTGGGCATAAATTCTGTTGAACTTCTGATCAGACATATATAAGATTGTGCTGTAATGTGATTTTATAGTTTCTGAAGTAATCATGTCTGATCCATGTTTAGGAGAAATATTTTTTGTATTGGAAGTTGTATTAGAAAACAACTAATGGAAAACCATAATTGTAAGTACTTGTGTAAGAAACAAGATTCAGGACAGATTCAAACACTTTGCTTTGCAGATTCTTGGAAACTAATTGGTAGCCAGTGCAGCTATGCCAGAATTGGGGTTATATGTTCAGCCTGACCTGCCCCAGTCAACAAGCTGGCTGCCAAATTCTTGCACCAGCTGCTTTTTGAACAGTCTTCAAAGGCAGCCCAACATATAACACATTACAAGATGTTACCAGAACATCAACAACAGTAGTTTTATATATATATATATAGAGAGAGAGAGAGAGAGAGAGATAAAGATTTATGGTATCAGATTCATTTTATACCACCACTGGTAGGTGCTTGAGAAAGCCTAGGATGAGATATTCCCCAACTATTCGGTTTAGGAATCTTAGGGTTACAATGGTTGATTCAGACTTTATGGGATTATACATTAAGAGTGGACACTGCATGGGTTTAGATGGTTCTTATGCATACTCCTGGCAGAAAAAGCTTTCTGAAAATATGTATGATGGAAAGAGAATCTGTCTAATCTACATTTGTCTCTAATTTGAAAGTCAGCAATAAGTGTAAAGGTGTCATTTGATTTTGATAATGAGTAGTTCTGTATAGCCAATATCCTGGTTCACCTGAAAGGTCAGGGTTGGAAGTCTGAGGATGCTCTTAGATCCAGCATTGTTCCTTGATACTCAGGTTGGGTCCACATCCAGAGGAACCTTTCATCACCTTCAACAGCTTCTCCAGCTGCATCCTTTCTTTCTCTTTTGCAAGTGGCAGAAGGAAAACTTGGGGGGGAAATCCCATTGAACACAGAATAGAACATATTTCATGGTGTAGCTGGCAGTAGAGAAGTCTTTTCCACCTGCATTGCATCTGGGGAATTCCATTTAGGGCAGTTATGAGGCTGGAGGAGCCTTGTGGTTATGATATTTGCAAGACCAATTCCTCCCATATCTGCGCTGACTTCAACACGTGCTTCGTGACAGTTTGTACTGGCAAACACTTAAGCACCCACATATCATATTTGCTTGGATGAGTTCAGCAGAGAGCACTGCTACTGATGAGCACATTTTATTAGGAAAAAAATCAAGATACATAAACTTTTGAGTGGAAGAGCAAAATCTGTGCTTTGTCTTAAATGGTACTGTAAAGACATAGCTGTCTTACATGTTAGAATATTTATAGACCTGAGACATTCCTTTATAGTTTCCATCCCTTGTAAATGGTAATAAAATATAAATGTGCGAAGATAAGACTAGATAATTTTTTAAAAAGTAAACTTCATTTGGATAGATAAAATTCACTTGTGCTATGTTGCGATGGTTGGCCTAAATTTAGATCTGTTGCTATGTTTTTTAAAGAAACCTTTCTGTTCAGCATGTAAACTTTAGATACATATTTTTCAGCAATATTTTGAATTTATAGCTGTTTACAGTTGCCAACACTTAACACAATATAATAATGGGAACTCATTTACAGTTGCATTTCATTAACAATTACTGATGGAAGTCATTTAGAAGGCGCATTTCATGATTTCCTTTAAAAAATAATATACATAGGCTTTTTGTGTGCATTGTTTAAGAAAGAATTATGACATTCAGGGGTAGGCAACATGGTGCCTTCCACATGTCTTTGGACTATAATTTGATCATCCCCAGCCAGTTGTTGGAAAAGATGGAATTTGTAGTTCTAGTAACTTGCCCGAATACTTTCCATGTGAGCATTGGACAATAGGAAACTAAAATGATACTATCAAGAACAGAGGCTCAGCATATAGGAAGGCCAAAACTGAATATGTCAGTTTTCTGAAATTCATACTAAAAACAGGGTTTAATACAACACTAAAATTCAGCCTTACACAACTGCCAGGCTAATCAAGCAAATATTTGTGTGAAAATTATTTATGTTAAACGTCGTTTATTCATGGTTCTGTTGCTATGCAAAGTAGAATTTCTAAACTATATGACTAAACATTTAACTGCAGACTTAGCTAATGGCTTGATTAGCCTCCAATTTATAACTGAGGAGCAAGCTAAAGGGGAGAAGTTCCTACTCTGCTCTCCCCTAGCCCTCCCCTAGCCCTCCAAGAGCAGGAGTGCCAATGTGAATAAAATATTGTGGGGGCCCAGGTAAGCCCTTCTCCGGATAATTGATCCCATGATGTGGCACACACACACAATTTGAATGGGAATGCCCATCAACTTTGGGGAAGCATGGTCCCCTCAAATATTTTATTGTGGGGGCCAAGCCCCCACAGCCCTTAGGAGTTGGCTACCCTCTGGACAGGAGTTTGCACATACTGGGTAGTCAAGCCACAAAGCTGGACAATCTTATCTAGCTGTACTGCCACCCACCATACCAGCAAGGTTTCAATTGTAACCTCACAAAAAATCTTATTCACAACACTTTTTTCTTCCTTTTTCCTAATACAGATGTTCAAAGGATTTGAAAAGTTGAAAGATGTTCAATATGTCTTCACACCTTTCGATTCCTCTCTCTGTGGGGTGAAATTAGAAGCTAACAACAAGAAGCAATATCTCCTTACAGGTACGGTACAGAGAAACCAAGGCAGTACACAAAATATATATTACAGTACCATGGCCAGTGGGAATCAAGAGCTTATTATGCTATTTAACAGTATAAATACTGGAGCCCATATAAAGCCAAAGTTTGGACTGTGCTGCTGTGGAAAACTTGAGTAAGTAATATGATACAAAATTAAAACATTGCGCTCTTGTGGTTGTTCCGTCAGCGCAAGCATTTCTGCTTGGCAGACAGTATGAACCCCCCTCTACCTGTTTTTATGGGAATTCTCATGACTCTCCAGCATGGATCTGGGGAAGCCATAGCGGGATGAGAGGGTAGGAAAGGCCCCCTTGTGCTGGCTTCCAATAGCATGCAGAATTAGTGGAATCTGGGCCAATAGGCCCCTGCACCACCAGGCCCAGACAGAGGGTGGAGCCATATGGGCCACTTGGCCCGGACCTCCGATTCCAAAGGGGGTCTCAGTCAGCCTATTCACAATCACCGGGGCTTTATATGCAGATACTGTTCAAGCCTTGAAATAAAATTAGTTGCCATCATAACTTTTGTGAACATTATTTATATACTTACTTATTTATAAGACTACAGTTATCCCCAGGGTAAAAAAAGGGGGGGCACATTATCTACCTGGCCCGGGCCTCTGCCTGGCTCTGCAAGGCCCTGTGCACCACCACCCAAACAGCAGATTGGGCTAATTGGGGCAACCTCCCAGAGTAGATGGCAGTGGGCTTAGGATGACAAGTTCTGTTGCACTTGTCTGCATATGCAGTGATTTAGTTGGATACAACCCAGAGAAATTTCTGTTACAATTGTACCCCTTGTTTTAATTCAAAAAGTTGTCCTTCTTGCCATTTCAGATATGGAGACAAATTTGTAAACTACAGTACGAAATAAAATTTTAAAACTCAGAAAAGTCTGAACTGTGCCATTACCTCCAATAGTGGCTATCACCGTGTCCAGGCCTGTGCAAGAGGGAGGTAGCCAGGTACACTTGCCCCATGCCTTGGAGGACTAAGCCAGCTAACAGACTGGCTGCTTTTTGCTTAAGTTTATAACTTTATTCTAACAGGACTCCTGCCCTGGGCTTCAGACAAGCTCCGCATTGGCCTATGTCTATCTGTTTGCGATATGTGACACCCCCCCCCAAAAAAACCCCAGTAGTTTCTAGCAGGCAAGGTATACAGAAGAACAGTAGTTTGTAGTTAGGGCATCTAAGAGAGGATAGAAATTTAAATAAATAACAACAATAAAAACAGTATCCTGAAGGAGACTCAGGATGGGTCAGTGTTATTCCATTTAATGGTGGGGTTACACAGCAACATTTCCTTGCAGGCTCCATGTATTTATTCATTACGTTAAAAAAAAAATTGCTTCAGCAAATCTCAGGGTGACATTCACAAGTACAGTGGTACCTCGGGTTACATACGCTTCAGGTTACATACGCTTCAGGTTACAGACTCTGCTAATCCAGAAATAGTACCTCGGGTTAAGAACTTTGCTTCAGGATGAGAACAGAAATCGTGCTCCGGTGGTGCAGCAGCAGCAGGAGGCCCCATTAGCTAAAGTGGTCTTCAAGTTAAGAACAGTTTCAGGTTAAGAACAGACCTCCGGAACGAATTAAGTACTTAACCCGAGGTACCACTGTAACTGAAGTTAAAAAGTAAACCACATCATTGATGTGGATTGTATCTTTAGTGTTGGGAATGCAATTCTGAATCCTGTGTTTTGATGTTTACCCCAATGCAGGACAGATTTTAGATGACGGTAAAGTTCTTATCCATTTGTGCAATTACATTGAACCATGGGATGACCTTACCTTCTCTCAAAAGAAAAGCCTAAATCAGAGATATCAAATGGGCTGTGGTTGTAAAGTAAGTATACCTTATCCATTGGAGTATCATTGCTCTTTCAGACCTATAGCACAAGAAAGGTTGAGCAAGGCAATCTCTTTCATTTGAGTATTTGTTTGAACTCATACGCCCAGGCAGCCAACAAGGGGCCCGCCAGCAGTTGTTGGGACTACAATTCCCATCAGCCCCAACCAGCTTGGCCAGTGATCCAGAGGGATGGAGGTTGTCATCAAACAACATGTGAAAATCCTATGTTGGCTACCCTGGAATTAGCCTTCTTTGGCCTGCCTTTTCTCATTAAAACTAATATGGGATGAATTCTGACTAGAAGGAAAATATACACACTAGTGTGTTATACTCCCACATCAAGCTGCCTTGGCTTGGGTGATTCTTGTTAACCTGCCATATCTAGCACAACTTTTCTTTGTATTTCCATCTGATCTCCTTGACAATTTTCTCACCAGTGCTAGATACTGCTGGAGAGAATTAGATGAATAGGCCATGTTTTACATGAAAATATATGTTTATCATAAAAACGGCGCATGCACTCAAGGCTGGTTCCCGTATTTCATGTGCATAATGTAGAAATCTGTCCTAAAGATACATGTGCAACATCAATACAAACTTCATGACTCTAAGGGTCAGACTACATGTTTAGCTTAAGGTGAAATGTGCAGTTAAATTTCTTGGGGTTTTTTTTACAATCTTAGGAGGCCTCACTGCAATACACTGGGAAGTTTATCCTTTCCCTCCCCAGTTACAACTCACCCCACCCCCTGTGTGACTAGTAAAGGGTTAGCTGCTGTTATTGTTCCCCCTCTGGAGCTTTCCCTGAAAAAATCCACTCTTTAAAGCTCAACTGGAGCAAATGGCAATTTGCGGAACATCTGAATTGATGTTTGCTCCGACTGAGTGCTAAAGAGTGGGTTTTCACAGCGAAAGCTCCAAGTAAAAAACAAACTAACCCACACACACTTGGACAAGAAGCTTTTAAGTGCAGCCTTTGCCTGGAAAGAGCTGAGCAATAAAGAAGTGTGGATAAGGTCATAGCAGCATATCATTAACAGAGCATAATATGTAGTCTGACCATAAGAACAACTTGCGCAAATAATGTTTTTATGATGTTTTGAAAAGTTTTTATTTTACTTTTCACTGTGTTTAACCAATTCCCATTAATTCTTCTTCCTCTTCATCTTCCTCTTCCTCCTCCTCCTCTTCATACTAATAATATTTAAAAGAAGGTAACATCTCACAGGAAACAAAATGTGCAGTCAAATATATATTAAGTTGGTCAATATTGTCTTATGATCTATGTTGAAGGAATGCATTCATTTTGGGATATTAATGTACTTTTCCATGTTTAGATTTCTACCTGCTACATGGTACCCTGCTCCATCTCTACACCAAATGAATGCCTGTGGACAGACTGGCTGATAGAGAGGAAGCTGTATGGTCATCAAGCAAAGCATTACGCCTGTATCAAACGCAGTGATGGAACATGCAGTTGGTATCGTGGTGGCCCTCCTCCAGAAAAAGATTTTGTTGACATCAGTGAACCATGAATCATGTAATTTCTTTCAAAGCCCCAGGGGGTTAAGTCCATCCGACGCTGTGCGCTCACTGCTGCTTTGAACTTCCAACAACTGTCTCTTGCTTAGAAACAAAAGCAAATTGTGCTGTGCAAATAAAGTACAGAGGTTGTAGAATTGGCATCCAGTCAAGAAGAGAAATGAATCTCCTGGAGGTAGCACTCCTTGATAAAACTTTAGAGAGCAACTATGTGGAAGCACTTCTTTGTTCTTTAATAATAACAATAACAATAACAATAATTCTGTTTTTGAAATCAAAATGAATGTAACCATATAAAACAAGATTCATCAAAATTTGGACTCCTGTTAATAGGATGAATTTACTCTGTTTTATTTCAAAATAGTACTTCTGAAAAAAATGGAGTAGCATGAGACATAAGAGCTTCGACAGTATGTATATTATTACAGTCTGCTGTAAAAAGTCTGATGAAAGATTATTTTTCCCATTTCAGATTATTCAAGTTAAATGTTTTGTGAGTGCCATTTAAAATGTTCTACTTCACTCTTCTGTATGCTACTTACTATGTCTCATCTAGCCTTATCTTTGTCTTGAAGGATTTGTTCATAACACATATTTGATAATCAAAACAGATCCAGTGTAGCAGTCCAATCAATTGGAATATACTCTAAAACAGAAACTAAGGCTGATTATTGTATTACACAAGTGTTATGACATTCGCATCCCCTGAATGAACACCATGACATTAACAGGCCAAGTAAACCCAACTTCATACATCTTAGAAAAAGATATTTTTCTTCTAGTGGTCTGAGATGTATGCGGTTCTCAAGTCTTGCTAACTTATGCACAAACAAGCAAAATGAAGGGAGCAAAACATGGACAAAAGAGAAAGATGGATGAATTGATCCTAGGGCATGAAATGCAAGTGCCTCTTGAAGTATTGTAGGGCATTTCCAGAGAAGGCTCGATAGAGTTTGAGAACCTTTAGCTTAGACTGAAACACAAAGCTAGGATGATATGCTGTGGCCTCACACATGGGGTGAAAGTATCATGATCATCACTTCAGTAATTATAGCTGTCCAGATGCAGTGCCTGGAACTTAAGTATTTTGAAATATGATGGGACAAATCAAGGACAGCTCAGGTATAACGGCCTTTACTGAGTATGCAATTTCCTGGTTTCTTCATGCAAAATAGTTCTACATTCATAGAATCTTAGAACTGTAAGGAATCCTGAGAGTCATCTAGTCCAGCCCCTTCCAATGCAGTAATCTCAACTAAAGCATCCATGACAGGTGGCCATACAACCTCTGCTAAAAACCTCCAATGAAAGAGTATCCACAGCCTCCTGAGGGAGTCAGTTTCACTGTAGAACAGCCCTTACTCTCAGAAAGTTCTTCCTGGTGTTTAGCCAGAATCTCTTTTCTTGTAACTTGAAGCGACTGGTTCTGGTCCTAACTTCTGGAGCAGGCGATTAAAGAGGTGCTAACCTTCTAATGATATCCCTTGATGGTGATCTGGCCACTGACCTGCTTGTAGTTCCTAATTATTGATACCTATTTTCTGTCCACCACCGTTTTATAGCAGAATTTGCACGGACTGCAGCTCAGTAATACAACATCTGCCCTGCATGCAAAAGGTCCCAGGTTCAATTCCCAGCATCCAGAGGCAGCTAAGCAAAGGCTCCTGCATGATACGGTACAGAGATGTTACCAGCCAGAGTACACAACGCTGAGCTAGATGGTCTGATTCAGTATAAAACAACTTCCTATGACCTATGCATTCACCCCAGCTCATAAATTTGTTTCTATAGATACACCATAAAAGAGGAAGCAGGAACAATGTTCTCCCTTGACCATGAGCATCTCTGACTATTTCATAATCCAGTGGAGGTGCCACTGTTCTCCACCTGTTTTGCAAACTGCATTATGAGGCAGTGGGACAGATCCATATGTTGCAGCCCCAGACACCTTTTAGGATACAATGGGACATACTACTCAGTAAACATGCTTAGGACTATACTGTTATGTAGAAACATGCTATGAAGGATATCTACTTCCTAAAACAATGTTTAAACAGCTGAATATGCTATAGTTTTTGCAGAATGTAGAAGTCAACTTTTTTGTTGTACCACAACAATTCCCAGAAATGTGACTCCATAGAAAATGAATATATATATATATATATATATATATATATATATATAGTAGCACAAGTTTTTATTCTAAGCCCTTTGACACTGAAATATTGGCTTCAATAAGCATATAACTCACATTATTTTTTCAGAAAAAATATTTTTCATTTTCCAAAATGGATTTTTGATCAACATTTATATATGGTTTTTTGTGTGAAACAAGTTATTCAGTGTAAGACTAAATATAGCAAGCATATTCTACTGTATCATGCATGTGATTTTTTAATCCCATAAATTACATAGTAGATAGCAGGTACTTCAAAGCAAGTACCTACAAAGCAAGTAATGTAATTTCCTTGAAAAATAAATCCCAACATTTCCTCATCTATTATTTCAATCTGCAGCATGGGTCGATTTGTAACTGCTGATTTCCTTAGGTAAATGTGAAAATACATCAAGGAAATGGCTAAGCTTTTATCCTAGCAGCAATAAGCATTTAAAACTAAAAAATGCTAATTTTTAAAAGCCATCTACTGAAGCAGTTAAGAAGAGTGCTATTTTTGTGCAATTGCAGTTTACTGCTTTTTAAAGGGAAAACAGAACACAAGACTTTTCTAAAGGAATACAAGTATATCCGATTGATCAGCTTCAAACTTAGAGCCTCAGAATACTCTGGTATAAAATTCTGAACAGCAAGTTGTTGAGGGGAAGGGAACTGTGAGAAACTCTTGAAACCTCACCAAAAAAAATCTGCCTAGACAACATCTTTAAGTACTGTGGTTTGGCTCCAACATTACTAGTGACAATCCCCTCTCCCTCTCTCTGGATCATCCCACAACAGCAGCTAAGCTTTTCACAGAAACTGCAAAATCTATCTGTCATTCTGCATCAACTGTTTTCCAAGTCACTGCCTTTACAAAGTCTCCCTCAGAGAAAAAGAATCACAACAGGAAGAATCTTCAAATTTACAGTCATCACTGCTTATATGAAATGTCCATAATAAAAGAATACATGTGCAGATGAAGAACCATGGTCATGTTTATATTCATACAGAATATTAATCAGACATTTTATCAGCCAGCAAAATAATTTTATTAAGATATCATGACTTTGTGGCGTTGGTATAGAAAAGAGGACACACATTCTTTTACTATCTTGTAGTGAATATTTCAGACTCAGGAATGTCAGGTAAACATCAGAAAACCAAATTCAACTAGCATTGCAATCCTGAACACATAGTGCAATCCTATGTATGTTTATGCAGAAGTAAGCCACACTATGCTCAGAAGGACTTATTCATAGGTAAATATGTATTAGAATGCATTTTTACTGGGAAGTTGCCCTGAATTTAAGGAGCCATACTTCCAAGTAAACATATCTAGGACTGTGCTACAAATCACTTTTTATGGTGTAGAATTTTTTTAATAATAATTGTTGTTTAATAATAAAATATTTTGAATCAATAGAAAGGGCTAGGCATATTCTGTCATGTACTTTTTTAGCAGAGAATCTAATTTAGAAATTAATTCATTCAAATGCAAGTTTCTAGCCCATATGCTGTTGGGAAACACCCAGGTATGAAATCTACAGTGTAATACTATCCAGAAGTAAGTCCTATTAAATTCAATAGGCCTTACTCCCAGGTAAATGAGATTAGGCTTGCAGCCTTAGGAGCTTCATGAATACAAAACTTGTATTACCTATTGTTAACTAGAAATTTCTGGCTATAGCAGAGGATTTTCCAAAGCCTACCTCATTTGCTCGTAAGGCAAGTGAGAGACATGCTAAGAATACAAATTAGAGAAGCTAGCAATCTTTCCAACACAGCCCAAATTCCGAGGAGATTCAGATTAAATATATTGCATATAAAGGGCAATACATGTGTTCCTAAACACTCAGGATTATGGATTTGTCATTTATATTTCAGAGCAAACACCACAGTAACAGAGTGTATCTGTAAAGTGCTCCTCATTCTGCTTCTCTTGTACTCTTTGGGGGAAAAAACACCATCACTGAATCTGCCAGAGCTGGAGGAAGAAAAAAAACAAGCACTTGCAGTATGAAATGGTGTTTCAACCACCCACACAGCAAATTTTGTATTTTCCAGTTTGTGATTCCTGTACCGTACATTTAACAATTTAACATTTAACAATGCTACTCTTCCAGTGCATAGCATCTATTCTATAGCAGGCTTTTCAAAATAGTACCACCTGATACCAACACAGACTGTTCTCTATCTGTCTAAAGTCAACAATGACTTCCTCAAACTACAATTCAGCTCAGTAGTCCTACTATGGTTCGTGTACCACAACTCTCTGGCAAGCATGACGAACCACAGACTTCCCTCCATCAATGGAACTGGGCAAGGATCATCCTCACAGTTGTGTTGCGATTCAGAGGTCCGCAGACTTCTTTGCTTGTCTCCAGCTTCTAGGTTGGGTGGAAAGTTGGGACTTGCTTACAGAAATACAGTGCCAAACAAGCCCCAGCTTTCCCTTCCAGAACTGAAAAAGGACAGTGGGTGTTTGTTGTTTTTGCTGGTGCACTTCTGACACACTCACAGCTCAACAAAACAAGTTCAGAGCTGCGGTGGCGGTGGCAGCAATTGTCCCTGCAACTGCACAAGGTTCCCAAGGCTTCCTAGCTGTGCAGGATCACCCCATCCCTCTTCAGTCTGGGGAACGGGGCTTGGGCTTCCTCTGTAGCACAATCAGGAACAAATTTCCTTTTCCCAGGTCCAAACTTGGAGGTATGGAAGAGAGTGGGTGATTTTCCTGAGTTTCAGATGCAAGTCTGAACACTCTCCTGGTGGCTACTAATTTTTGGTTGCTTAGGTCCACCCATTTTTTTGTTTGCTTGTTTGTTTCCTGCCCAGCAGTGGTTTTCTTTTGTTATCTCAACTAAGATGGGATGGGCAAAGATTTCTCCCAGAATGACACTCTCATCCTAAAATATCCTTCCTACTCACATTCAAACCACTACATTCATTGGTCTGGAGAAATAAGAGGATGTGGGAAGCCACTCCAGGCTTCCTTTCCAGAAGTCCGTTATTTTATCACATACTAGATTGCATATTTGAAAGTGAGAGGAGACATGCTTGTTAGTATAAAGCTGAACATGTGTATAATCACAGAAACCAATTCTTAACAGCAATCCATGAATCAAATGCACTCAAAAACCACAACAGCATTTGAGGATGAGTCAGTGTCAGCTACGTTGAATTCTTCTCCGGAAAGTACATCTTTCATTTCAATGTTTCTAATGGTTTATGTTTAAAGTCTGTTAAATAATTTTTCCCCATTTTCAGAACTTTAGATATTTCAGCTGGGTAGTTAACCAAGTTAAGGTCTGTTGGATGAAACCAACTTTTAAGTAGCATTTGATATCAAGTAATAGCTCGTGGGCAGAGCTATAATGTGAATCATGCATTATTATAGCTCCTTTCCCTACTACATAGAATCAACTGGTATTTATGTTTGTTATTCACACCTACCATTTCCTTGTGATTGGGATAAAAGGTTTGCTCAATTAAAGGGAACTTCTCTGGTCCCAAGGTTCTGTAGATGGACACCAACTGAGCAAACTGCAAAAGAAAATAAACAGAATTCTAAGCTCAAAGCTCAAAATTACTTCAGAACTGTTATTCAGCACCATAATTACTATCTATCAAAAATTCAAGAGCCTGTTAAAAGATCCCTTCTAGTTTACCATATTCTGATTACCCACCTACAGAAAAAGAATGCATAAAAAGTAAAATATGCAAGTGCAAATGATGGAGAAAATAATAATTTCATACACCTGTATTGTTTTGGCCATTTCATTTTCTTTTGAGCCTATGGCCTAGCTAAACTAAAAAGGCCTGTGCCTACTTTTTACAGTATAGAACAAGCTGCTGTATTTAGTGAATAAGTACTGTATTTAGTGAATGTTCGGAATGTTTGGAACACAGAAAAGAATAAACTGATAGAATCCATGGTGACCGCCATACGCATGAAAAGAGAATCAACTAGTCATGGCAGTTATGCTTAATCTTAAATTGTTTTGTAGATAGATAAAAAAGGATATTGGGAGACATTTAATGAACAGGCAAATTAGTCAAAGTCTTAATAAAGAAAGACACCGAAAAATGATTATATGTAATTGACTGATATTACAATGAGGAGCTAAATGATTTTGATTGGTTCAGGACACTGGGTTGCAACTGCTATGGGAAAACTGCTGTGATTCTTTGAATGGTGAATGTAAATCACATGTGTAACCTGGGAGTGTATAAGAATCATTGCTTTGGATACAGACCTTCGTGGCCTCTCTATGATTTTTAAGGAGCCTGACCATAAGTATATTTGTATTCAGTAAAGGCCTATTCTTTTTACTTGGAGCCTGCATCATTTTCTTTGGGGTTTCTGTGAGGGATACCTCCGATCTAGGAAGCCCTTTCAAATTTTTCCAGCACCGATTATCCCACATTAAATTAATGGCACTTAAATTTAGAAATGTGCACTGGATATCAGCACTGGGTATTTAGCATTGCTCATCTGACACACTTCTGCACAGATTTTATACAGTGCAGCTCATCCCAGTGGGGCAACCTGTCACAGTCCTGCTCACCATGGAACAACTGAAAGCTCACTTTAAGTACCAACGTTCAGGTCTGGGGCAGCTGGGCATGCTTGGTTGAGAGTGGCATCATAGGCCAAACCAGGACCCATGCTGGACCTAATTTCTCACCCCAATGTAGAAGAATTTAGAATCAGGGTTCCAAATAGGAGAATTTCAGTGCATTTTTCCTATGGGATTATTTTATAAGATTGCAAAACCACCAGCCATTCAGCAGGTTTTTAAGGCAATTCTCATACACGCCACACCTATGAAGGAGAACTTAATTCCATATGCTCTCATTTCCAGTCTTCAAATCTCAGTTGCAACAACAACATCCTTGACTCAGTCTTGTAATCACAGCAGCTATCTTTGTGGGACTTCTCTCAGCAGAATCAACAGCCCTTCAGAGCC